GAGGAGGAGGAGGAGGAGGAGTAGGAGGAGGAGGAGGAGGCGGAGGAGGCGGAGGAGGAGGAGGAGGAGGAGGAGGAGGAGGAGGAGGAGAAACAATGAGCTATGAGCAATGCGCGGGGAGTCCAAATGAGTTACTCGAATCTCACACCATAAAACTAGCCATAAACGCTGCGCGACCCAACTTCGTGGGGGAGCGGGCCAACCTTCTAAAGATAGGGGGAACCCCCTCTGGCAGAACCAGCACTGCCCCCGAGCGACGGCGAACCCAGACGTCGCGCAGACGTGCGAAGGGAACCGTCTAGGGGACTGACTCGTGACTAGACCTACCGTTGATGACTTTGTTTCCCTTACCCCTCCGTGGAGCCCGTTTCGGGGCCACCACTAGGGGGATCGAGGGAAGATCAGCATTTGAATCTGTATCGAAACTCGCGGCCCCAAAGGGAGAGCCCTTCGGGCCACTGAAGACGCAAGTCGCTGGCTACCCTCAAAGACTCCCCTACTCAGCGTTCTAGCCTCCCTCGGCCTGTCTCCGCCTCCTCGGTCACTTTCCCGCGCTCCGGGGCTCATATCTCCTTGTCCTCGCCTCCATGCCCCTTCTCGATGAGAGTGAGGAGCTTCTCTGCTTCGCGCTCGAGCGGCCCGCGCGGGGCTGGCCCCACAAGCTGCGTCGCCAGACTCTTCTCTGAGTTCAAGAACTGGATCAGCAGCGACCTCGCCTCCCTCCCTGGCTGGTCGTGCGAGATTAACGAGTGTGAGCCTGCCCTTCTTCTCCTGGCCGTCCCCGTCCTCCTCCTGATTTATCTTCCCCTTGAACTTCCTGTAGCGGAAGTGGAACACATGCTTCGCCACGTCGGTGGGAGTCTTGCTGGCCAGGCGCCTCTGGAAGTAATCCCGACATGTTTTCGTCTCGCTCTCGTTGTGGGTGTCGCTTCTGTCCAAGAACGAGTCGAGGTTGTTCACGAGGTTCACCGCGAGCGCTCCCCACAGCTGAACGTGCGGTGGCCCCCTTGCCCGATGGTCCACTGTTTCTCCTCCTTGCTGGCGCTCCTTGCGGCTTTGGGATACTCTGTCGTACTTGATGCCTGCGTCTATCAGGATCCTGGTGAACGTGTTCTCGGACTCCACTGCCTCCCAGGTCTGAAAGACTGTGCCTGCAAGGCTGCAAGGTTGGCCAAGTCTCGAGCGTCGTTGAGGCACAGCTTGGCAACCACCTTCAGCAGCGCGTTGTGGAGGTTGCCCTTCTTCTCCTTCTTCTTCGCCTTGGCGGCCTGCTTGGCTGGTGGCGCCGAGCCTTGGGCCCCATCTGCGCCATGTTTCTGAATCACCGAAGGCTCCTGCATCCAGCTCGCCGCGGCCACCTCCGCCATTGCCAAAGGTGACGCGAGGGGTGTCCGGAGGATGAGGAGAAGTAAGGGGAGCAGGAGGAGGAGGAGGAGGAGGAGGAGGAAGAGGAGGAGGAGGAGGAGGAGGAGGAGAAGGAGAAGCAGGAGGAGGAAGAGGATGAGAAGCAGCAGGAGGAGTAGAAACAGGAGGAGGACGAGGAGGAGGAGGAGGAGGAGGAGGAGGAGGAGGAGGAGGAGGAGGAGGAGGAGGAGGAGGAGGAGGGGAGTGGCGACACACTGCGACGTGCGCCCACAGGACGTGAGCTTGACCACCACACAAGTGAGAGCTGTCTGCGCCTGAAGCGCGCGGGGCAGCGGGAGTCGCCGCTCACTCCCAAGAGTGCGCGAGCCAGCGCGCGGGCAGGAAAGAGCCTCTTCTGGTGCTCCAGCCTCTCTCTCTCTCTCTGCCACGGGTGCTTCCCCTCCCCCTCCCCCCGCCCTCCCCATCTCTCCCCTCCGCCTCCTCTTCACAATCACACTATATGAAAATACTCTCCCACTTCCCCTGATGGCGTCCCGAAGATGGCGACCCCTGCTGCGTATGTTTTTTTGTACACACAGGTTTCCCGGGAAAAGGTGTTTCGCTGGCGTTTTTTTTTTTTTTTTTTTTCAAAATGCTGCTCTCGCTGAGGCGCCGGCCTCATTTCTGCTCCCGAATCGTTCCGAATCGTGCTCCCGCTGCAGCGTGGGCCTCATTTTCGGATCGGTGTTTGGCCTCCGTCGTTCGGGATGGCGTTCTCGCCCCAGCGCGGGCCTCTTTCTCGCGCGCCCATCCGCCCTCCAACCAGCCGCACCACGACCACCACCACCACCAAACCACCACCACCACCACCACCACCACCACCACCACCACCACCACCACCACCACCACCACCACCACCACCACCACCACCACCACCACCACCACCACACACCACCACCACCACCACCACGACACACACGCACGCACGCACGCACGCACGCACGCGCACCACCACCCACTACGCACGCGCGCGCGGAGCCACAGGTCCGCTACGACACGCGTCCGCGGATAGAGAAAATCAGCGCCATGGTAAGGGATGGGAGGGAGGGGTAAGACGTCAGATATGACGCGAGCGCACCTGGCTTGCCCTGGCTTGCCCTCCCCCCCTCCCCTTCCCCCCTGCCCTTCCCCCCTCCCCTTCCCTTGCCCCTTCCCCCCTCTCCCCGCTCCCCTTTCCCCTTCCCCCCGTTCCCCTCTCCCCTTCCCCCTTCCCCTTCCCCCCCTTTCTCATCGCCCCATCTGCTGTCCAGCCCGATGCATCTGGCTCCAAGCCTTCCCCTCCCCTCCCTCGGCGCGGCGAGGCCTGGCCTCGCGGCCGGCCGCGCCCCCTCCCCTCGCCACGTCCGCGGCCGGCCGCGCGCCAGGAGATGTTCTACAAGTTCGCGAAGCCGCTCAAGATCCACCGCCCGGTCCTGCCCATGCCGTACCGAACCGCCGAGGACGCTGGCGCGCCTGTGTGCCGGCTGTGGAAGGGCGGGGAGGCCGAGGGGGAGGAGGAGCAGCGAGCAGGAGGAGCAGGAGGACGAGGAGGAGGAGGACGAGGAGGAGGAGGGTGAGGAGGAGGAAGAGGAGGAGGAGGAGGTGAGAGAGAGAACCAGTCTGAATCTTCGTCTTACTCCTTGGGAACGCATTCTCCACTGACTCTTCGTCGGAAGGGCAGGATGGCCCTACGTGGAACCATTCTCGAACCACTGTTTTCTAATGACATGCTCTTTCGTTTTGTGCACTCTTGCTTCTTGTAACCTCTGTCGAGACTGACTTTGTGAGGAGGCGTCTTGCATGCCATCGACACTCTCGCCACATCACGAGACTGATATATCGGGTGTCTGCATTGCCCCCCAGCACAACATCTCGATGCCTCTATCGGTGGCAGTTGCCACCACTGAGAGGCTGAATCGTTTGACGGTTCCTGGGTTCGCCACCTGTTATGTAGTATGCCCATACCAAGAATATGGCCTGCCAACTCGTGAGGCAAGATCATTTCTTGTCTCTCGACGTGCCCGCAGATCACTGGGGCACCTTGCGAAGCTCAGAGTCGGCGAAAGATGTGTCCAGATGTGCCCCCAGATGTGTTCGGCGTCGGCTTTGAGCTCAGGTGTGCCTCGGGGTTTCTGAAGGCAAGATCTCTCATCGTCTGTGCCTGCTGCATTTCAGAATGGCCATCCTTTGAGCTTCACGCCCGAGCAATCCCAGCGCTACCTAAGCCAGAACTGATGCCGTCCTGGATGTTGTGACTGCTGCTCTTCGGCACGAGCCAGTGGCCTGGGAACTTCAGAGAGGAGGCTCGCCGAGGAATCGTTCCGTGCAGGCGTTTCTTTCGTTTTCGCCCTCCCCTGGCCTTCTAGGAATCGTCGTGCTTTCCTTTGCTTCTGTCTTTGCCTCTGCCCGTGTCTCTTTGCGTCTGCTTATCCTGCCTCCTTCTCCTCTGTGCCGGTATCGGTCTGTGTCCAAGACTCGCTCTCTTTCTTTCTTTCTCGCTCGCTCTCTCTCTCTCTCTTTCTGTCTCTTTGTCTCTCTCTCTCTCTCTTTCTGTCTCTTTGTCTCTCTGTCTCTATCTCTCTGTCTCTCTGTCTCTCCTCTCTTGTCTCCGTCTCTCTATTGCTTTTTTTTTTTTTTTTTGTTTTTGTTTTGTTCTCTCTCTCTCTCTCTCTCCCATTAATGTATATATGTATATCTATATATGTATATATTTAGTTATTTGCACACAGTCCCCATGGGGTGATTGCACTTAGCGGTCCTGGGCCACCCTGGCGGTCCGGCGGCTATGTTGCCACCGTCGCCGCCTCGTCGCCGCCCGTCGGCTGGGCCTGTCTGGCGGCTATGCTGCCGCCGTCGCCGCCCCGTCGCCGTGTCGTCGCCGCCCGTCGTCTCGGCCTGTCTGGCGGCTGTGCTGCCGCCGTTGCCGCCCCGCGGCCGCCCCGTCGCCGCCGCACGGGCTGCTCCACGTCGACTTCGCAACATCGAGCTCCCGACAGATTGCACAAGACAGATGGTCATCGCATAGGTTGCATCACGGAGGTTGCACAACATATATTCCACTGCACATATCGCACCACATGGGCTTCATCACACATATTGCACCACATGTTTTGCTCCGCATAGGTTGCCTCACGTATATTGCACAACATGTATTGCGCAACATAAGTTGCACCACAGATATTGCACCACATGGTTTGCTCTACATATCTTGCACCACATATGTTGCTTTACATGGAAAGCACCACATGTATTGCTGGAAACACACACACACATCGTTTTGGGGTTCACACTGGCTACCGCATACCGATCGACCTAACTTGCATGTGTGAATCGCTCTCTCTCTCTCTCTCTTTCTCTCTCTCTCTCTCTTTCTCTGTCACTGTCTCTGTCTCTCTCTCTCTCTCTCTCTCTCTCTCGCTTCCTCCCTCCCTCCCCTCTCCTTCCTCCCTCCCTCCCTCCTTCCTTCCTTCCTTCCTTCTCTCTCTCTCTCTCTCTATATATATATATATATATATATTTATTTATACATTTCTATATTGTTATAAGCCCGGGCGGGGGGGGACCCCCCCCCCAAGACCAGACTCCCGGGATCTGGGGCTTTGGGACCCTCCGGACGGGCCTCGAATCGGCCCCCCGGGCCTCGCAGGGCGTTTTGCCAAGCCTTCCCAGCACACCTAGGGCGATCAGGGGGGTCACTGGAGACGTGTCAGAGACCCCCAAGACAGCGCAAGAGCGCTCCAAGAGTGACCGACGTTACCTCAAGATGGCCCAAGAGGCCTCCAGGATGGCCACAAATAGGCCGCCAAGAGCGCTCCCAAGAAGGCCCCAAGAGGCACAAATCATGGATTTTCTATTGGTTTTTGGTGGATTTGGGGGTTCTCCTCTTTTCGGCTTCCCGGCGCTCCTAGACGGCGGTCTTTTGGGCGTCCGAAGCCGTCTGGGAGGCTCCCAAACCGCCCAACAACCATCCGAAAGGGCTTCCAGGCAGTCCAAAAGAGCCCCAAAACGGCACAACACGGGTCCAAGATGGCCCTCAGAGAGGCCAATGGCGGCCCAAGATGGCCCCAAGACACCCTCCGAAGCATTCCAAATCGTGACCCGGTCGTTCAGGCAGACCGCGGTTGGAGGCAGGGTGGCCCGAGGAAGCCCCCAGAGGCCCCCAGAGTACGCCCAGGAGGCCTCTAGAAGGCTTAAAGCAAGCCTGAAACAACTTTCGTGAGGCTCCCAGAGGCTCTCCCAGAAGGAGCCTCCGCAATTTTGAACTGAGGAGGATGGGGAGACTGCGCAGGGTGTGGCGAAAATGAAGATTATCCCAGTGCGACTCTACCTAGGAGTTGGAGCCCCCTAGGAAAGCAGCATTAGTAATAACAGTAAAGCTAAGCTAAAACTAAGCTAAAGCTAAGCTAAAGCTAAGTTAAAGCTAAGCTAAAGCTAAGCTAAAACTAAGCTAGCGCTAAGCTAAACATAAACTAAAGCTAAGCTAAAGCTAACCTACATTTAAGCTAAATCTAAGCTAAAGCTAAGCTAAAGCTACGCTAAAGCTAACGCTAAGCTAAAACCAAGCTAAAGCTAAGGTAGAGCTAAGCTAAATTTAAGCTACATCTAAGGTACAGCTAAACTAAAGCTAAGCTACAGCTCAGGTAAAGCTAAGTCACAGCTAAGCTAAAGCTAAGCTACAGCTAAGATAAAGCTAAGCTAAAGCTAAGCTACAGCTAAGGTAAAGCTAAGCTAAAGCTAGGCCAACGCTAAGCTAAAGCTAAGCTAAAGC